ACGCGGGATAAAAATGATTCTTTTAAAATATTCATTTCTTAAGCTATTGCGCATACCTTATCATAAATTTCAGGTCGGTTATATTACTTAATCTTTCTTAAGTAAACGGTGGTCGGAATTGATGGCTTATAAACTGTAATTAACACAACTCAATGATTTTCACGTAAAACAGGGGACAGTTGACAAGTTGAATAAAGTGGATGAAGAAGTGAAGGCGAGTTTTATTTTATATGCTCTGCAACCGGCATCAGAAAAAGTTGATGTGGGTAAGCAAACTTTATTAAGCCCAATCGAATTGAATTTCACTTAGGAGACGTTGGAGCAATAGAAAATACAGGTAATTGTATATTAGTAAATTAGCATTAAAGTGGTGTTTAGGGATGGATAGATGTCACAGGTTGCTAGTACGGTGGGGATGGGATATTTGATAACCGTTAAACAGAAAATTAGGCACAGGTGTTGCATCCACTTCCCACTCTAAAGAGTTATAACACGGTGATATGACTGGCGCCTCTCGCTGACGAAAGCCAACAAAGAGGTAAACAAAACTTTTTAAAATATACCAGGTTAACGGTAAGATGCTTGAAATCATCATAAACAATATAAAGGAAAATATAGGTTTGTGCTCATTCCACAAGATCGAATTTTTCCAAAACCAAGTTGTAAAAAAACTATTACACTAACATTTAAAATTTTGTGTTTAAAAATTTAAGAATATATTTAAATTGTGAAACGCATTACAACAATAGTTATATTCGATTGATAAGTTAGGTTGTGTGTTGCGTACACTAATGATAAAGGCAGAATTTCAAAGGTCAGTGTTTTCTTACCGACGATGAGTGATGGAGATAGTCCTCTAAAAGAGTGCACTGATATCGTAACAGAGATATGCACTGATGTAATTAATTTTATTAGCTATTGCTTTATAATAGATAGATTTATTTATAAAGAAAGCTGCTAGTAAAAAGCCGATTGATGAATCGAACTTCAAGACCCTAAACGAAAGGTAAATCGGCCGTTAATGACTTAGCTGAATAGCAAAGCAACGCTTTATTCAGATATAACTGATGCATTAGAAAGTGCAACTGCTCTTGATGAAGTAATTAATTCTAATATTATTTTTAACACTGTAGAATGATGAGCCAAGGCCGATCCTTAAATTTGAAGCAAAAAAGTCAAAACTAATAGAAAAATGCTCAAAATACAAGGTACATACAAATTTGCATATATGAAATGGTAAGCTTAGACTGGATGAAGTTATTAAAAAACTTGATGCTAAACCATCCTTAAAGGCTAGCAATGACAGTTTAGCATCAAAAAAATCATCTGGGGGATCAGAAAAGCAAAAAGCTGGCAAATCTTCGAAAAAGTCTAAAGAAGTGTCAAATGAAGATCTTACAGAAGACAAACAATCTCCTCGCACGGATGTACTGCTTTTGGAAGATAGAGAGAAGAAACAACCACCAAATAAAGACAAAAAATCTAAAAAGTCTTCTTCAAATACTGATACAAAGCAAAAAGAACTAAAGAAGATAACAAGGAAGGAAAAATTAGACGAGCAAACAGTTGATTTACCAACGGAGGTAATATGGACTTCCACCGAGTATTTGTATATGAACTGTTAAAACATATTTTCTTCAATACTTTTTCAGAAAACTAAAATCGAAGTAGAGACAAAAGCTTCTAAAGCTCCTAAAAAGTCAAAACTTAAGATTGCTTCTTTTTCTAGAAAGAATAAGAATGAACATGAAAGTAAAATATGTTTATGATTAATCATTATTGTAGAAAGCAAACATACAGAAGAACTTCCAAAAAATACAGAATCTGATATCGAAGAAGTGATAGAAAAGAGCTATGAGTCAGATGAGTGGGAGATTGGTAGCGAAGATGATCCGTCTTTAACGAAAGATATTTTAAACACAGATAATACCAAAGGTAAATTAGTTTTCATTGCCATGACAAAGTTTATAAGTTAAAGAGCCAGTTTTATCATCTTCTGGATTTGAACAACACATTGCAATGAGAGATTGGGAAGCACAAGAGGAGGATGATTTGGGCTTAAAAAAAGGAGAAATAATATTAATTCTTGAAAAAGAGTATTTCATTTTAATTTGGAAATTATTATTTTTATAGTCCAGATGGATGGTGGATAGGAAAGAATAAATCTGGCGAAGAAGGCAATGTACCAAGTACTCTTCTCAAGGCAAGGAAATTACTCTATCTATTTGCCTTTATATGTTTGAATATTAGTTTTATATTGAAAGATACTTGTCTATTTATACAGCTTTTGGAATATATTTTTAGCAATTTAATACAAGAATTAAAAAAGCAATTTTCGTCAGAATGAACCTACTCTTTTACTCTGATGGCTAGTGGAAATAATTCATCGCTTTATTTATTGTAATAAATGGGAATAAAACTAATTAATTTCGAGATACGCTAGTTCAATATATTTTTTGTTTTTAAATTTAATGCCATATTGACCTCATCGTTATCCTATTTCAGATTACATACAGCGAAATTGTTGTTGAAGTTCACTTGTCTCAAATTGTTCTATTTATCTGATAAAACCTATCTGCCTATGAACTTGCAATTCCACTTT